CTTACGTAAGGCTGCTATACGTAACTTACGTAAAGCTGCTATACGTAACCTACGTAAAGCTGCTACACTTAACGTACTTAAAGGCTGCTACACGTAACCTACGTAAAGCTGCTATACGTAACCTACGTAAGGCTGCCACACTTAACGTACGTAAAGCTGCTACACTTAACGTACTTAAGGCTGCTATACGTAACCTACGTAAGGCTGCTATACGTAACCTACGTAGGCTGCTCCATGGGGCCCCATGGGGCCCCACGGAGTTTTGAGTCCTTCCCACGGGGAAACCCACGGGGGGTACAAAAATCGGCCCTCTTCATAGGGAAACCCTATGGGGGGTGGGGTTATTCTATAGGGTTTATATACATAAAAATATGCATATGCATAATTATTAATCAAGTTTACTAATTACATTTACTAATTACATTTACTAATCATATTTATTAATCATATTTATTAATCATATTTACTAATCACATTTACTAATCACATTTACTAATTACATTTACTAATCAAAGACTTAGAGTATTAATTAAATTTATTAATTATAAAGGCCTAAGGGTTGGTAAAGACTCGTTTTTTAGCTTAAGTCTACTAGTTACAAAGAGTTAATAAAGACCCGTCTTTTTGCAGTTATATAGAATACGTTTAACTCGGTCTCCGCTTTTGGCCTAAGTTCTTGCTTATAAGCATAGTTTAAATGAATTTCGTTTGACTCAAGTAGCTCTCTTAGCTTTTAGCACTTATTGCTTTACTTAAACTCATTTTTATTCGAGAACTTAAAGGTAAAGCGTTTATATGCTAAGGTGCTATCGATAGTAAAAAGGTATAGCATTAATAGCTCTTTTAAGATGCTTTTAGCTTCGGCATAATCGCTATCGAAAAGCTTAAGAGTAAGATCACTTAAGATCAATCGAACCTTGATATCTTTATAAGTGAATTGCTTTTCAATTTGATTAAAGAAAGAGACAAAGTGATCGAAGAGATAAAGGACTTGAGCGCTTTCTTTTTAAATAAAAAATCAATTAGTGATTATAATATATAGATGTTATTATTAACTTTATTAGCACCGTAATGCTTAATGCCGAACTCGTCGACAAAACCTTTGCGACTTTTCTATTCGTAATCGAGGCCGATTAGTCTTAAAAATAAAGCGGTATTTTTTTTGTTATAGCAAGTAAATATTAAATTAACAACGTTATTATCAGCATAAACGATTACGAAATCCTTATAGCGACCAGGTATCTCGTTAATTAGCTTATTGCTATCGGTGCTAAAAAAGTTGACTTCGATTATAGCGTTATAAAAGAAAGGAATCGATATTGCTAAATAAAGAAAATAATTAGCTTGAAGCAAAGAATCAAAAAGCAAAGAATCAAAAGGAAAATAATTACCCAAGTTGAATGTAGTTGTAATTAAGTGTTAAGGTTAGTTAAGAAGTTGAGTATTAAGGTTGAGAAGTTGAGTGTTGAGGTTAAGAAGTTGAAGTTGGGTATTGAAGTTAAGGTTGAAAAGTTGAGTATATTGAGAAGTTAGGTATTAAGGTTGAAGTTGAGAAGTTGAATAGAAAGTAGTTGTAATGATGATAAAAAAAAGAAAAGGAAAAGAAAGGGGAGCGAGTACTTATATAAAAATAAAAGTGTAGCTTAATCGTAATCGAGGCATTGCTTCGATTTATTAAAGGTGAATTATAATATTTAAAATAATAAATCGACGCGGAACAAAAAAAATAACGCGTTTTAAAACAATAAATCGACGCGGAACAAAGAAAATAACGCGTCGCTTAATGATAATCGATGCAATGCTTCGATTTAATAAAAGTGAATTACAATATTTGAAACACGAACTCGACGCGGAACAAAAAAAGAACGCTTCGCTTAGTAAATCTTATTAGTAAATCTAATTAGTAAATCTGATTAGTAAATCTGATTAGTAAATTT